GAGGGGCAACGCAGTGGACCAAGATGGTCATAGGCTATGGTGTCTCTGCACTGCAATCAGAGTTTACTTCTTTGGTTCTTGTAGTCATCTTGTCCTGCATTCAATTCGCTTATGCCCCCATTTAATGTCAGGTTTAATAATTCCTTGTCAGTCTCTTCCATAACTTATAATTCAATGCCCATTTAATATCATTGTGGAATAACTTAAATGGCCATAAGAATGATGCCAATGGGGATTGTACACTATGTGAGCAAGACTAAAATAATATTTTTAAGAAGATATGATGTATGTCCCTGAAACTGAAGCTACACATTTTGTGAGTCATCCCAAAAAGAATCAGAAATTAGGCCCGTATGTCACTCATTTGAAACGACATAACTGCAAATGTTTTTGCACTCTCCATGTGCAAAGAAAATATTTATAAATGATATATCGGAGCTAGAAAAAATGAGAACTCAAACTGGCGTTATCAAAATGATGTAAAGAAGCTATGACAGGGTGTGTGAAGTTGAAGTCTCAGACAACAGCCCTTATTAAAATAAACCTGGCATCAATAGATACAGAGGCTCCACATGAGTCACCACCATCTTATCACTCAATGTTCAGTTTCTGGAGCTGAAGAAGTGTCCAGGATGAAGTGTGAGGCCATAAAAAGTCTTCAGCAACAGGATGAGATGACTGTGAACATTTCTGACCACACAGTTGGACCGAGCAGTGGGGAGTAGTGGCTGGCTTGTGTCCACACACCACTCCATAGAAACCTTTTTGATCTAGGATTTGAGATCAAGAAGAAACCGGATTTTGAACCATTAAAACTCTACGTGGTATAATCTATTCATTGAATACTTAGGCAACAGTGCAATTCGTTTTTTCTCTTGAAACCTGATTTCATTTTAAAAAACAAAAATCTACTCTCTCGACGCCTATTCATCTTCTTTCCATATGTGCTGCACTAAAAATACAAACAAAGGAAGTAAAATCTAGTACACACGTGTTTGACTTCAAGCAATTATTGTTCTGCTGCACAATACTTCAGATATATCTGGAGGCGCCAGAAATAATTGGAGAATATACAGTAAAGTTGCCTCAGTGTATACAATTACCTATTTTCTTGAAAAGTTTAAATGAAAGGATTGGAAATGTGATGCTTTTGAAGTGTTTATTGTCCTGTTAAACTGTATCTGTAATGAGTGTAAGATTTCCCTTTCCCAGGGAAACTAAAGTATTGGGCTGGAAATGGTCCCTCCATTCTTCATTTATTGTATATCAGCACTGACTGCAGTATGTTCCAAAAGGCCCCATTGGGAATAGTGCAACAGACATTCGAAAGGTAAGCCCATAAAAATGCAATATGTACAGATAATCTCTGATTTGACTGCAATGGGGGTTTAAAAGGGGGATTCAAAGGATGAAGAGAGGCCAATATTGTCTGTCAGCCATTAAATGATGTCTAACCAAGGACGGAAACTGTCTTGAGTTATCCGCTGATTGAAGAATGCGCAAAATGCTAGCACATTATCAGACCATGGTAAGGAAAATCTGATTTAAGCACAAATTATTAGAGTCATCTGAGGATGTGAAGGAAAACCGATACAGGGAAGGTTTTGGAGAAACATGGAAATGATGGCAGGGAAGCCACCACCACCCTCATCCTTTGATTTAATTGTATTGACATCAGTGCCAACTATGTAACAAAGGGCCTCCCTGTCCATGTGCTGGGGCCACTGAAGAAACCCTTAGGGATCTGCTCTTCAAACAGACCTTCAGAACCCTAATCCGCTCCACCATGAAGGTTAGATTACTTTCACCATGCATGGTTGCAATTTTAATAATCATATCCTACTTTGGCAAAATGAAGTTGATAGACATCAAGGAGGGAAAATAGGCCAGTGTCAGAAATAATTTCTCTACTTGATCGGCCCAGTGGTGAGGTCTTTCCCCCTCTGAAAACCCCCACTTCTCGGAGGTATCTATCACAACCTAAACACAGCGTAGGTTAAATTCATGTGGCTGCTTAAACAGGTTAAAAAGGGTTCCTCTGTAAGAATCACAACTGACATGTGAGGAACATCACCTTACACGTTTCTCCAAACTGCAATCAGTGAAGCCCAATTTCAATTGGTTTGACAGTTACAGAGTTGCTTTGTTTATATTATCTCTGCGCGTGATATCACTGAAGCACAATAGCTCTTTGTTGTGTTAATTGAAATTGTATGTGAAATGATTGCCATGTCACGCCCGCACATGCAATCTCACACGCACACACTTTAGGTATGCCTATTTTTTTCTGCGGTCCAAAAGAATCTTGGATCACTAGCAGTATGCTCTCATTCCACTCAAAGTCCTTCAAGTTGCAGACTGAAGTTTTAAGAAGTAAGAGCTACAGAGTGCATATTCACTGTTAGGTCCATTTTCACTCACAATTCAATTAAATCAGGAACAATTATACACTTATCCCAAATCCCGCCCTTTGGCATGAAATAATTGTTATGTCCAACCCACTAAAGGGAGTCTGAACCCTTAATCATCATTAGCAAATGAGCTGCAGTTTCTACTCAAATGTGGAAGTGCTTGAATTGAACACAGCCCTGGTTTGGATCAGAGTTTTGGCAGATGTGGCAAACTACTGCTTATGAACTCTCATAATTGCTATATTCTTAATTTCCTCATCCACCTATGGTGGACCAGGCATGCTGTGAATAAGTGTTGTCTTACAGTATACAGGAATACAGGAAGTATTGACCATACACAGAAGCCTATTAATTAAAACAAATAGGTTTATACTCCCTGCAACACACACTAAAACACACCCTTATCCTATCTCAGGGTTTACAGGAAGCTTGTGCAGTATTATCTCTAAACTCTGGTTAGCAGCCTGTATCTCCAGAGATGACTGAGGAGAGGAGGGGAAGGACGGTTTTGATTATGAGTCCTAAGGAGGGAGACCCTGTCCTGGACCCCTGGGCCTGACAAGGGATTTTAGAGGTGAAGCCCTGACGCTTGTGAGCAGCCCGCTACACCCTCTCAGATCTTCAATCGAAAATAATCCAGTCTTAAAGCATTATTCATACATGTTCTCTGTAACAGTTAAATCGAAACACACTCCAGAGAGGATGATATTTCCCTCTAATGAGCAGGGGTAGGTCACAGTATAGCAGAACCGGAGATGCTAAATTGCTACCATTCTTTTCCTGCCCCGGTATTAATCTGTCAAAGCGCTCTGTGTGTGCAGACACACATGCAGAGACAAAGTATGTGTCAAAATCCAGAAGGGAGCAGAGTAAAATGAAACAAGGTGTGGAGTTAGAGGAGAAGGTGAAGTGGGTTTATAATAATGTAAGGCTCTGGAATTAATAATTGTATGAAGGTTGGTGAATGTGATGTGTTGAAGTTAACATTTCTGAAGAAGGCACAAGAGACTTCTTTACACACGCTGGCTTTTCTTTATTAATCTGTCTATCTGTCTGTATTTTAGTCAAATGAGAATGTGTGTAGTTGAAGACAGGCCTATTTTCATATGCTCAGGTGAGCTGTTGTCACATATAGCAGCATATATGTTCAACCCAATGACATGAGATGCTTTTACTAAACAAATTAGATACTATGTGGAAAAATCTGATCATTTTCTGACCCGTACAATTATTTACTGCCTGTGGAATATTATCTGAAGTAAATGAGCATAAAGAAGCATATAAGGCTGAATTCACCTTTCACATTCTCTTGATTCATTATTAGTATATTTTACAGATTTTCTTATTGGAGAATATTTTCCTCCTTGTAAATACTGGTCCTTGTAAATCATGTGTGCCAGAGACAGCCTGAACAAAAGTGGTCGTTTAGACGTTAGAGCCCCTCAGCCTGCAGGGGACTGAGAAGCATTCTGTGGTTTACATAGTACTATTCATTCATCCAAAGATACACTACCTGAGTTTGTCATCGTGTCAATAACATACCTCAAGATTCAATATTAACTTCATAACTAAGTCTTAAGTTTGTTTCCATCCTTTTTTGTGCTTTGTGCTCATCTATCTTTTATAAAATGTGCTGTCATTTTTATTTAGTCTGCATTACTTTTTGTCTTTAAACCATTTCAAGTGTTTGTGGTTAAATATTGCTGTGAACAGTTGCACATTGCTAAGTCCCCATTGGAAACAAATTAAAAGTGAATTATTGACCATTATCCAGAAACAATATTTGGCAAAACAATTGCACCATAATGTTATTGAGTGTATATTCTGACACTTTCAATTCTATCACACAACCTTTAAGGCAAGGCAAGGCAAGGCAAGTTTATTTATATAGCACCTTTCAACACAAGGTAATTCAAAGTGCTTTACAAAAATGGAAGACATTTTAAAAATGGCATTTAAAATCAGTCATTAAAAAGAAAAGATAATAAAATAAACATTAAAAGAAAAAATACATGGATAAAAGTTAAAAGTTACAGTGCAGTTTAAGATGTGAATAGTTCAATTAAAAGCAGCGGCAAAAAGAAAAGTCTTCAGCCTGGATTTAAAAGTAGTAAGAGTTGCAGCGGACCTGCAGGTTTCTGGGAGTTTGTTCCAGATATTTGGAGCATAATAACTGAATGCTGCTTTACCATGTTTAGTTCTGACTTTAAGTGCAAATGGGAATTGTAAATGTTCACATTTCCATTTTTCTCAGGACTTCTCCAGGCTTGCTCTGTAGGTGAGATAAATGTCATTATTGACTTTGGAAATATGTTGTAGTGTTTCACAGCAATTAAATAAAGCATTCATTTAGTACTAGTTCTATTACTATATCTTAACATCACTTTTTGTTTCCCTAAAAGGACGCTTTATTGTCAGACAATTGCATTTAAATGCCTCTTCCTGTCCTCTTGCAGTTCCTATAGTAAACACAGGGTGGCGACACATGGCTAATCAGAGCCATGTGGCTGGTGCGACCCATGGTGCGGCCACAGCCTCTCCAGAGCAGTTTGCAGGAAGGAGTGCGCTCAGTTGAAGAGAGAGTCAGAGAGGGGGAAAGTGTGCTGGGCTCCAGCGAGGAGGAGAGAGACAGAAACCAGGAGAGACAACTTTCTTCCACACGCTCTTATTTTTTTACCGAGAGGTGCGCTTTGAGAGATCTGCTGCAGACAGTGCATAAGTTATCAAGGCACCGTACATTTTTTTGGAGGGGCTCGAAAATAACAATTAGAGTGAAGTGGATGTGATAAGCGGGCAAAGGTTTGACACAGAGCCGGAGGAATGTATCCAACTCGGGCAGCGGCGAGCCAGCGTCCTCGGGGATGTCCAGCCCGCGCGCTGTGGGTCGCCCTGCTGCTCCAGAGCGTCCTGGAGCTGAGCGCCTCTGGTGAGTCTCTACTTTATTTCCCCTTTTCTCTCTGCTGACTTTACTTAATCTGCGGTTCATCCCAACATGCGCCAATTCATTCAACCATGTCATATGTCCACCTTGACGAAGATTGCTCCTCTTTTACCATAGCTGTATTGTTGCTTTTACGCACTTTAAAGTCAGTTTAAGTCATTGTGTTTATAAAGGGCAGCATGGTTTATTTTCTAACACCGCTTTGTTTGTTATTCGCTCCTGAAATCATGCCACTAATGTCCTCTGCCTGTTGTATTAAGCAGAGCTGTTTTCCATCATTGAGCCTCCACTCTCATGTAAATGATCTTTGGTTTTTAGATGATCGTCCTATTGTCATTCTGAAGCCTCAGCACGGGGAGAGACCTGACTCCATTGGCAGACAATAGGGGGGCTCTTAACGAGTCAGCTGGATAGCTATTGTGAGCCCAACCACCCCCTCAGTGATTTAGCTGAATATATAGATAAGGGATGAATAACATTTTATTTAAAGGCAAACATGATTTAAACATAGAGGATTGATTAAGTAGTGGCTGTTTCAGGCAGTAAAATGAGAATACATAGACAACTTGTGAAAACCTAGGCCTGTGGAAACAGTCCAAATTGCCTCTCACCCAAACAATCCTGGTCATTATTCAGGTTTTTCCTCTTTGGTTAACAATAAAGCTATACCATTTTTGGCCAATTCAAATATGTAAATAACCACATTTACACTGCCTTTAACAGACGACTGAGTGTGTGGTATTAACATGTTAAAGAACGTATCTGATGTTATCTGTAACCAGCTTTTGGTTCAGTTTGAATTCAATTTATATTGTCTATGAAACCGCTTGTGGAGTGCGATTATTTTTTTCTGGCCTTTTTATAGTGTATAAAACAATCTCCCCCTCCCTGATGGGAAATGAATCATGATGTATTCCCTCTCTCAATGTTTATTGGGGTTTGTTTGGATTATCTCTGTCCTCCCTAAATGCTTGTGGTTGTTATTTAAAAAAAAAAAAGTGGCGTTCAGAATATGCAGCACTGAGCGTAAAGCTTACTGCTACCCTTCTCTGGCCATCCCTTCTTCATTTTTTCCTGCCCCTCTTTTTTCTTGAGGCAGGAAGGAATGTTAATCCACATTACTTAACTGGATGATTTAGCTATACCTTCTTCAGATGGAGTTTCATGATCGAATATGGAATAGAAGAGATTCAAGGCCCCTACTTTATATCTGAAAATGGACTGAATAGTTGAAATAACTCACGTAGCTGAAAGGCAACATCTACATCTACATTTCATACAGATAATACTGTTTTTCATGTAGAAAAAGAAATGTCCTCCTAATGCTGGACACCATAAAACGATTGAAAAGCTCTTAGAGATTATGTTGCTGCACGCTATAAGGATTTAGACTTTTTCTACAGATAATCATAGCTTCACTGTAGCTTTAACGATCATAGACAAGAAAATGACACCCATTATAACTCTTTATTCTTCCATTGCACTCACTCACAATTTTGACCTGCTATTTACCGCAGTAGAAGCAGCTCGGGGATATGTAAGCAGATGATAACACTGGGAGTCTTGTTTCTCCTCGGACTTGCTGTGAAGGGAAGGGTCAGAGAGGAATAATTCTCTGGTTCAACTGGTTCCAAAGTGAAGAGAAGATTGCAGTACCGTGTGATCAGTGGCCAGGGGATCGTGTACCATCTCTTGTCAAAGCAACTGAGTTTGAGTGACAAAAAAGAAACCAAAAGGCGCGGCCGTTTATTTGCAGGTCTCACATTTATTGATCATTCTGTGAGTGTCCAGTCAACAGGTCAGTGGTCTGTCTCTGTGCGTGGTTAAAATACCAACATCTCCAGGAACAATCGGGGCTTCCCCTCTCCACAGCAAGGGAATTTCATTACATGACAGACATGACTAAGGATTATAAACCAACAATATATATATATATATATATATATGCATGCATGGTTTTTATTCTGAAGAACTGCATCTTCTACAATAACTCACAAAAATCCGTCCAAATCAAATATTACATTTAACAAAAAGTGTATCTGTGCCAACTCTGAAACACAAGTTAGGATGTGGCATATCTTCTTAAATAGTCATTATATCTCTCAGCCCCTGCCCTTTAGCTTCAAAGTAATAATCAGTGACATGTTCATAAAAATAAATTGACTGCAATGTTTTCAAGCTATATAAACTGTGTAAATGTTTCTGAACACGGGACATTCACCTCTAAACATAAAAGGTCCTGTGCAGGGCAGAGACTATGTGAAAACTGTTTAGAATTGCATTTAGCCTTTTAATAACACTCAGGGAGGCTATAAATCATGTTGGGTGGAACTGCCTCGCTGCCGTTTTCAACAGAACACACTGTTGACACTAAAGGCACTTCACCCCTGGAAAAAAATCCTCGGTGCTACAGACTCGGTGTGTAAGAGCTTGTCCTGCTCTGCCTGCTCCTGAGATGTCGGTCTGTACTGTTATATTTCCTCTGGTATTTTCTTAGTCTCTTATTAAGGGAGTCGTTTGCAAGGAGGTGAAAAAGATGTTAGAGGTTATGGTAGCTCTTTCTTTATGCACTCAAATAACTGCATATCGGCCTCTCCCTTTTGAGATTTTAAGTCTGCTCTGTGCTTTTTATCATCGCAATATTGTCTCCTTTTATACGTCACAATATTCAGTTTATCTATATTTTATCCAGATGTTCTGGGAATCGTCGGGCTCCATCTTGGTCTGAGTGGTCTTCCATCTCTTTCAGATGGATAGCTCTGGTGTGTTAACTCCCACTCTGCACAGTGCACACTAACTCAGGCATCAAGTGGTGTGCATCCCTAAAAGCTTTTGGCAGACATAGAAGAATGTGGCAGGGACTGTATGTGTGAAACAGATGTATGGTCTTTTTTCTGGTGGGAGGGGGACCTATTTTTTTAGACAGTTTGACTCCATTTTGAGCGTGTGAAATGTGAAGAAAGTCGAGGACATTAATATAATCAGGACATAGCCATACATCAAATGCTCGGACTCTGTTTAATGTCACTGATTTAAAACATCGGTGTGTAAACCACGTTGTGCACTGGCAATTACCTACTTCCCACTTGTTATTAAGCACATGTGTTTGTCAAGGCTTGGTGTGCCTCAGTGTTGCCATAGGGGCAAACTGTTTGCAGAATATTGTGTGTTAATTGTTTAACTGATGTTCAGCCAGCAGGCAATTTGCTTTAACATTATATATAAAGCATCAAATAACTTTAAATGCTTTTTTCCCCGGACTTTCTCGTTGTCGTTTCCCAAGCAGGACTACCTCATTGATGAGAATTCATGAGATATGAAGTTTCCTTATGATGTGTGATGCCTGTAAATGGTACGGTTGTTTTCCATTAGTTTGCCGGCTGGAATGTCCTGATAAAATGTCGTCAATGCTCGGTTGACAGAGGAATTTAGGAAGGAGAGGCTGATCTTAGGTTTTTCCTTTTTTGTGGATCTGCACTCTGCCAAGTCAGGCAAAACCCTTTTTCCGAATGGTAAGAAGTGAAAATGTCTCTGGATCTGCATAATATTGACAGGAAAAATGCTCTTCTTTCCACAAAACACACTCTGTGGAGCATGCTTGTTTTTCAGTGGTCAGACTTCCTCCGAGAGGCAGCGTTTAATCAGAGGCTGAAAAGTGTTCACTCAGATCCTTCGTTGGAGGCGTTTGATAAAGTTTCTGCCACTGCAAACTGTAGCCAAGCGTGAAAACCCTTTTCCTGCAATTTACTGTCTGCACAGGAGGTCAGTCTGTTGGAGAGAGAAAACTCTCTGCAGGGTTCAGGGAAATGCAGTGGTGGATTAACAAAAGGAACAGAAAACATTGCTTCAGGTTTTAGGGTTGCAGCTGAGAAGCCGTGTGTAAATGACATTGTGGCACTTCAATGATTTTAACAGTCAGGCCTGCGTTGGCAAATAAACTGTAGCATTCATTTTTGTCAAACTAGTACGGTAAATTAATAGACACAGATTATATTTGTGCCTGCTCTGTATGTCAGACTACAAATTAAGTAGCCTTCTCTACATTCTATTCAATACCATGTTGATGATTTTCTACTGCATGCTGTCTGGATGACAAATTACGGCAGCCACATAAAAAATGTTCTCTGCTGTACTTTAAACACACACAATACAAAGAGTTCTTTGCTGCAGTTGTTAAGCAAGCAGTAAGCGTGAGAGCATGCTGAAGACAAAGTGACACTTTAATGAGTCTAATGGAATAAGCCACACATACTGCATATCAATTTCCCATATGGACTTGGCATAGTTTTAATGTGGAGGACTGTGGGGAATACCTCTGGCTTAAAGAGCTCTAAATTTCATTGAGACCACTCTTCATTGCAGTTTTATCAAATTACTGCTCTGCTAGCGTCCTCCCAGCTAGCTTTGCCCGGGATTAATATGTGGAGCTCATGCTACATTGTATTTAATAGGGGTTAGGATGAAACATGGCTTTTTAAATTCCCCTATATGTGTCAGAGTAAATCTTTCTAAGCCCTGTTTGCATAGCATTAAGGACTTCAGAAACCCCCACTGCAAGCAGAAGGGCAGATCCCCGTCCAGCCACAATTAGGTCTTTGTACAACACCACACTCCTACCAAGGTATTAAATACCGCAACCATATGGGCTTCTCTGCCAAAAATATCATTATTTATTTTCCCCAAAAATATGTGTATGTTATCAGTCAATAGAGAAATGTTCCACTTTATCAGCTTTGCTCCCCAAAGATGTGTTTTTGCCACATTTCAGTGCATATGGAACAAGCTTCTTTTAAAAAAATGTTTGCAGCTGCACATTTATGTATGCACATTATAAGTTAGTTCTTTAAAGGTGGGGTAGGTAATTTTGGAGAAACCAGCTCGAGTGCGCTAGAATTTGAAATTACACAGCCGGAAAAAATCTGCCACTTCCTTACAGAGCCCCTCCTCCAACACACACGAATGCGCACATGACCAATGAGGGCACG